CCCATGGTGTCGATGGTAGGCACAATACTTCTTTATGTCCTAATGATAAGCTATGGTATTCATTGTGGTGGAGAGTTGCTAGGGGGGTGTTTAGCCTCCATTATTTTAGACATAATAAAACACAATGGAATTGTTTGTTCTAGGTAATTTGTGGTTAGACAACAAATGCTCATTGTATCGAGCCGATCACTAGTTAGGATAGCGAGCCCGACTCCCTCGACAGCGTGTTATGTTGATCAGCCTGTGGTCTTGGGCAACTAAGCATCTTCATAGTGTGGATGGCTGGAAGGATGAGAATCATGTCTTAGTCTCTACCCTTCACCTTAAGGGCCATTTTTTGTGGGCAGAGGGTGGAGGAATCTACTCAGGGGTAAATGGAATTTGAGTTATATTTCTTGACTGTTATGTGGTTTTCATTTAGATTGAACAACGTGACTAATGTTTTTAGTCTTTACAAAACCACAACGTATCAAAAGAGCCCTCTCTTCATCCCCTGAGCTAGAGTGACATGAGAGACTATGGGTTTTGGGTCTTGTATTTCCAATATCTCTTTTTAGAAGGATGTGATTAACAAGCAAATGCTCTTTTCTAATCTATGTTGGATCTGCAAGAGGGCTTATGAGTTTTTCTATGGCTTTTGGGTGCTAGTAAACTCTATCACAACCATTTATTTGAAATTAGCAAATGGTGTGATCACTCTTGACGATAATCCATTAAAGCACTTGAGGCCTACTCCCTCAACGTGATAAGGGAGAAGGCATTTTGATGCGTTGACATCCTCATTAAGTATATGATTGATTCAAAGGAGTTTATGTGGTAAGTGGAATCATTCCATCCCTTGTAGGACTCAAGTGATGGATTTTGAATTTCTTAGGAGGCTCGACTTTAGAGATTTGCCGAAAAAATGTATTCTCATGCTGTCAGGAGCCTTAATATGTTGGAACCAATGTTGATTGGGCACTATTGATGTACTGAAATTCTCCTTCTCTTTCCAAAGCTGAAGGGTCTCTTCTACATTTAGGTGTTGACCTTTCTTCTCTGGGTTGCTGATCCCTTCCCTGGGCCAGCACATCTACAATAACATCCGATATTTGATCCACTACAGGAAATTAGCAAATTTATTTCAGCCAAATCGGACGCTAATTGAACGTAAATTCAATAACATTTATGTATCATCATTGGATTTTTGTTAGATTTACACTGATATTTTTTGTGGGTAAATTGAGGGTCGCTAATGTTAATTTCATCAATTTTGTTTCAAAATATTTTAAAGCAAATAATTAGCATTGCTTTTTGCATCATCACAGCGTCAGACTTCACGTGAGTTAATTTTTGCGTTCAAAAACATCTGAATATAAAGAATATTGTCAAATTGATGTCTAATTTAAGGCGGGCAAAATTGATGAGCGATGCATCAAATTTTTCAGCACAAATCTGACACAAATCCGGCGCAAAACTTAGAATATAGAAAAAAATTCAAAATATCTGAACCTTTGCAGTCATAGCAATAGCCTGCCTGGCAAGCTCCGTAGTATTCAGGTGTGACAAGCTCAAGCCACCCACATAAGCACAAGGGATCTCAACCTTCTTGTTCTCCATCACCCGCGTCTATAGCTCGAACTTAGATTGCTCAGTGATAGACTGACTACCACTACTGCTGGCAGTGCTTGGGTTCTGGGAAGCTGACTGCCTCTTCTGGAGCAACTTATACTCCTCCTACTTAATAAAAACCAACTATTAATTGTCATTTTAAGCATTAAGATTCAAAATAAATGTGAAAAAAATCAAAATTTAACTTACATTCACCCACCTAGAATCTATGCGAGGGAAAACACATGTGTGGTAGCAGCATGGGAAGGTGGGATGAAAACAAGAACTGTGGAACAAGACATGCTCTTCTTTATGCTCTTCTAAGTATTTTCTTTAGTGTTAAGAACATATTTAATTTAGGACATACTCTAACGCATGGTTAGTTCGGAGGATACTAAGGAACAAATTGCTAGGTTGAAAGGGAGAGTTATGTCCCAAAGAAAATTCAATATTTTTTCTATAGCAGGTAACTCAACTACATGCCAATAAAGTTGATAAGGATGGAAGGAAATTTTGTGAGGGTTCATAGAATCATTCTACATTTTGAATTTTTCAAAAATGGATCTTTCAATTTGATAATTTGGAGACATCTATCAGGCTTCAGATTACCTAAACTCCAATAATCAATAAAACTTGCCTTTGTAAAAATTTAGTGGAGACTCCTCAACCTCGATGCGCATAGATGTGAATCTTTGCTATCAAATGCATTTCCTATGGATATTGATGAGGCATAGTCTCCAACAAAGTTTTAGATATTTCACTCGGGTTCATATATATAACTCAAATCTTATGTATGCACAAACCTAACAGCTAAACTGCAATATTTACATGCATACCATTGAACTTTTATGTATATACAAACTTAACACCTAAACTTCAATTTGTACATGCAAAACACATTACCTATGCCAAAAGGCCCATTTCACTTGTAAAAAATTAAAATAAAATAAATTGGTGCAAAAAGAATTACATCCCTCAATGTTTTCTGGTTGAGCCAGAGTGGAAGGATGAGAAATGCGGGAGTTTCGGTAGTCGTTATTTACCTTCCCAACTAGCTCTAATGGTGACTGTATCACGAAGGGTCATTCAGGAAGGCGAGGAAAGGGGAGAGGAAAGTCGTGAGGGAGAGCAAGGGTTTCAGACGAAACCATGAGGGAAAGGAAAGGGGAGAGCGAGGGTTCCGTGCATAAGGGAAGACAGGAGGGTGCGAAGAGAAAGAAATGAAATTTAGCCACGCGGGATGAGAAAATTAGGTCATTTGCATAGAATTTCTGTCAAATTTGCGTTAAACCTATATCTATGCTAAAAAACAAAGGTTTGCATCGCTTGGATGCAAATTTGAGGCTAATCCCATCACAATTACATACACACTCTCTCCATTTTTATATTGCTTTCTGCGTTGAATTTTCAGAAGAAGATTGGACGTAAAATTCGACGCTTAACGCCCACAAATCTGACGGTATAATTTGCATCAGAAAAATATGACGCAAACATCAAAAGCTAACTACAACATCTTCTACAGTGATCCTTCAACTCTAGGAACCGTTGGGCTATTAACTCTCTAGAGCACTTCATACTGTCGGTGTCTTTATTATGTATTTCATCTCATAAGGTTGCTCATTTTCTTGTTTGTTTGAATTCATATTTATTTGTGAACCTCACCTAAGAATTAGAGAGAGAAACGAGAGATGAGTGAACAGTAATTTGTCATTTCAATAGTGTCTTATTCATAAGATGATTTTCTTATTTATAGGGGACATAGTACAATAAAATGATGTTATTTTTTTGCCTCTGCTTAATGGGGCATGTATAAGGATTTTTTTAGTATTTTATATGTATGAGCTTACAGTTCAGATGCTCATTAAGTCGACCGGTTAAGCTTATTCTGCTTCGGGTTGACAAGATCAACTCAGTTAGCTAGATCACTCGATTTGGGTCGGCTAATTAATATGATCTGTTTGTCGATTCTGGACCCCTGACAAAAGGGAGATGCTAGAGAACCAGATTTTCCTTGGATTGGCTCTCCAGTAACAGTTGGTTAGATATCCTTTTTACCACGTTTCTGTCTGAATGGCTGGTTCTTATGTCCTTTAATTTGTCTCATGGTTCAGTCTGCTTTGGACTTACCGGCTTTAGCTGAGAAAACTTCACTCGTTCGTATAATTGAATCTCATGGTCTTCTTTTGGTGGATCCTCCTTTGACGTTATCTTTTATTTTGGATTGTTAAATCCCCTCAGGACCAACTATTTCACTTTTGAAAAGTGGTATTAGTGTTATGATATTAATGATTTGAGTGCTATCACAGGTAGGGGTGCAAACAAATTGAACATGAGCGAGCCCAGGCCCAGCTCATGTTCAGCTCATTAAAAAATATCAGTGTTTGTGTTCGGCTCATTTTTATTCGAATGCAAAAAGTGTGTTCTTGTTTGGCTTGTTTGCTTAGGATGTCAAACATGAGTTGTTTGCAAACAAAGAATCATTTTGACAACCCTAATTATGCAGTCATAGGATGTTAAAGATTGGTGCAAAATTTAACTTTTTGTTTATGTTAAAACATCATTTAAATATAATTTAAACTATTTCTATTCTACTTTTTTCATTAATAATTTTAGTTGATTATAAATCCTTATAGCCTTATAGTCAATTAAAATTTTAAATAAGACTACTAATATATATATATACATATATATATATATATATATATATGAGTTTTATTTCGAATCAAAATGAGTCGAACACGAACGAACAAATATTTATTCGTGTTCAATTCGTTTATATATCGAGCACAAAAAAATATTCATTTTTAACAACTGAAATACGAGCAGCACTAATCACAGGCAGACCCAAGCTGTTCAAATTAAGAAACTAAAGTTATTCTAAACTATTTTGTTTTTATTTTGAAACAATCAAAGGTTGCTTGGCAAAGCATCCCAGGTTGATTTAAAATTCTTCATGACAAACAGGCAAACCAGTGATCTTATTTTTGCAATATTTACATAAATATCACTCAATTCTCATATAATTACATATCTTACATCTCAACATTATTTTTTGCATACATACCACCCCACATTACCTATACATTAAAAGCATTTTAATTTTTTAAATTTTAAATAATATAAAAATAATTTAATTTTAAATTTATTCTAATCAAATCATATTTTATTTAAATTAAATTTTAATTATAGTAAAAATTCATATTGATTTTTAAGTAAATATCAAATCTTGTTTATATATGTAAATGTAAAAATGTAGGTTTTCGATATGTAAATACCCCCAAAAATATCTATAAAAAAAAAAAAAAGACTAAAAATAAGTAGACTTCGTCTTAGTTCGTTGCCACGTACATCTTTCATTAATTATTCTCTGATGTCATCTTTGATATATTTATATAAATGCCCACAAAATATTTACAATAATACTCCGTTCAGCTAACCACTCCTCGGCGAGAAACCTGCCGATACGCCCCTTCATGATCACGAAGACGGAGGAGCTCGGCAGGCTTATTAAGACTTCGCCGCCGCGGTCCGATGATGGGAAGAAAGATGGAAAGTATGAAGGAGACGACGACAAGGAGAAGTTCTGCTCGGTAAGAAGCTGCTTCTCTCGGTGCTCTATTGGCGATGAAGACTGCTTCTTGAGTGGGAGGACGGAGGAGGCGCTGGCGACGTTGTCGGAGGAATGGTTCGGTGAGTGTGAAGGGTGGCCGTTTGGGCTGTGGCGGCGGCGGAAGATATTGTCGTGGCCACCATTGCCAAAGTCGCCGGCGGATTCCTGGACTTGGCATAAGAGGAATCTGAGTAATGTTAAGGTTTAGCCCGATGATCGGCTGCTTTAAAACTGGAGTATTAGTTTGAAGGGAATTAGAGGATCAGCAACGGCATACGGGAAAAATAAAATGAAAGAGTATTTTCATCTGGGCCAATTTTAAAATGTTTATATTTGTATAAAAATAAATTCGAAAATTTTATCTTTTATTCTTTTATTTTCCTCCAGGTGATCTACCACCACTTCAAGAAACTTCTAGAGGTACAATTATTATTATTATTATTAATTTTTCATGCATTATATATATATATATATATATA